TTTTATCCTGTTATTATTCTGTCATATTACAGACATTATTCCACCTTAGAGCCAACATCTCTATCAGGATGTTTCAGAATCACTTTATTGCAGTCCATAGAACACAGGACGATGTATAATTGTTTTCTGTTAAATTTTATTTATAACAAAAATAAATTCTAAGTCTTTCTCTCTTAAAGTTTTGGAAGAACTATTTAAAAAATTGACACTTGTCATGTGCAAAAGTTAACACATCTTCCAGAGTGATTGCTAGCTTGCGTAATAAATAGGGTCTTGTATTTTCAATTGTTCTTTTCATGAAGAAGTTCCAAGTTGTCAACAGTTGTTTAGATTTCTACCCTGGAAATTATTATTTAATAATCAATATCTGATGAATCTCAAAGAGATTCACTCAGAAGTGAATCTAATTAGCCTAATCTATGGACTGCTCTCATCATCAGTTGCTACTTTTTGAATCCTGACCAACTCAGATCAACTCCCTGAATATTTTCTGCCATGCACAGATAGACTAAAGCTAGTGTCATCTTCCTTTTCTGTCAAGGTATTCCTGCTCATTTACTAATTGGAGAATACAGCAAGTGTCCCTAGTGCAACATATATTTCCAAATATCTAGTACAAAATGTGGGGGGGGGTAGGATACCTTTGTTGTGTAGCTGTCCAAATTAGAGTATTGCTCCCCTCAACACTGAGTCTTCCCCAAATTGTATATTCAAATGACTCCCTTCTCTAAATTTCTCTCTCTCTCTCTCTCCAGAGAGAGAGAAAGGGGGAGGAGAGAAATATATTATATATTATACACATAAATTTCTAGGACTTGATGAAAGGTATATAAGGTGTATATGATATATGATGAAAGATATATAATATTATACTTAGGAAAGAGCACATTTGTGTTCCTTCACTGATATCTATGCATTGCAAAAGGAAATCCTTGATATCAAAGCCTAATTATTAAAAATATGTTCATGTTAAAAATAAGTTCGTATTAAAAATATTAACTAGAAAAAAATCATGAAGATCCTAATCCCCTCAACATTCTAGCATATGGCTTTCCCATCAACTCAATCATAACATCTCTCCTCATATATTAGCTATGTTCATATTCTTTACCTTTTTTGGGGGGGAAAGGGGGAGTGATAGTCTCAAATTTTAAAAAATCCAGTATATTTTAAAAAAGTGTCAAATTCCCCAAGTCAGTATTTCAGGTAAAACCTAAGAATAATCTCTATCCCATCCAAGAACTGGAAAAGACATTTATCTCCATGACTGATGCTATCTTGACTGAACTTCAGTGATAAAAAGGAGACATTTTATTTTAAACTTGAAATTGTACCCAATTCCCTTTTGTTCTATTCAAATACCTATCAATCGATTAAATTATAGTGGCCACTTCACTTTTTTAAGGTATTGAGGAATGTTCCTTTTCCCAGGTCCCTACATGTCTAAATAAAACAAGAAAAGCAATTATGCATAGAAACCCCTGTTTTTCTTCAGAACATTTTTACTCATGAAGCTGTAACAGCCTTCCTCCCCTTCCTTATACTTTTTTTCTGCTTCTCTGGTTGAATCATTCCTATTAGTGAAATCCCAAGTTTATTCTATGCTTTCAAAATGCATGAAGTCAATGTGGAAACAAGTTACTTTGACAGGAACAAATTGAATATTAACAAAAACATCTGAATGGAGTGGATATTATTTAATCAGAAAGTGTTTAATTGAAAGCTCTTGCTCATCAACCTAATAATAGCAAATGATAATAGCTTCTATCTAACAGGAACTAGGCTACTATACATCATGCTTAATGGGAAGACTAGGACCACAGGGGTAAGTGGTCCTCAACTAGCTGTTAAATAAGCATGAAACAATTTAGCTACTTGTTTTTACTAATAATTTTCTCTTTTCAAAAAGAGAATGTAGATCTCTTTAATTATAATGATGTTCAAGTCACAGGGGAAAAAGTTGGATGAATGCTAGGATAATCTAGTTAAATGAGTTTGCTCCCCCCTTTCCCACCACACACACACACACACACACACACACACACACACACACACACACACCCCACACACACCACAGTCTATTTCTTCTAGTTGTGGTAAATTTCTCAGTACTAAAAACATTGACTGTTTGAGCCATGATATACAAAAAGGTAAAGGGATTGAGCATGTTGCACTTTTTGCCATTTTCTTAAAGAAATAGATATAGGAAATGTAAGCATTCATCCCTTATTTCCTATATAAACACACATAAGGACACATTTCTGTTAGTATGTTAAGAAAGTCATTAATAAAGCATATTTGTGTTTAAAAAGAATAAGTGATGATCACATGCCTATTAAATGTCACATCTGGAGCTAGAATCGAAGTCTTTTGGCTCTTGTTATAGTCCATTTTCCACTTTGTTAATCTAAATTTCCACTTTTTTTTTTTGGTGAGGTAATTTGGGGTTAAGTGACTGACCTGCCCAGAGTCACACAGCTAGTAAGTGTTATGTGTCTGAGTCTGGATTTGAACTCAGGTCCTTCTGACTCCAGGGCTGGTGCTCTATCCACTGAACAGCCTAGCTGCCCCTAAATTTCCACCTCCTTTCTTTTGGTTCATATTCTCTCTGCACGTAAGTCTCTGTCTCTGTATCTCTCTCTGTCTCTGTGTCTTTCTGCCTATCATCCTCTTTCTTTCTCTCTCACCCTTTCTCCCCATTTCTCTTTATGTATCTTTCTCCATCTCTTTCTCTGTCTCTCTCTTACTATGTCCATTTTACAGATGAAGAAAGTGAGGCAGATCAAAATTAAGTAACTTTCCCAGGGTCATAGAATTAGTAAAAATCTGAGACTGGATTTGAACTAGGTCTTCCTAAATCTAGTTCCAGCACTCTACCTACTTGTAACTTAAATAGTTCTAATTGATAGTTTTTAATCTATTATAAAATGATCAGAGAGACAGCCAGTTATGGTGTAACAGATAGAAAATTGATCTTAGAGATAAGACTGTCTGGATTCAAGTCCAACCTCTGACACACACTGGCCGTGTGTCCCTGGGCAAGTCACGTAACCTATTAGTCTCCTAGAAAACTCCCCAAGACTTGAAGTAACAGAGTAGCTGCCAACTTGCTTTAATGGAGCTTCCTCATTGGTATTTCCTTATACCAATGTACTCAGAGGTGTCGATTGAAAAACAGTAGAGAGAGAAACAGAGAAGGGAGAGAGAGAGAGAGAGAGAGAGAGAGAGAGAGAGAGAGAGAGAGAG